TATTTTTTTTACAGGGTGCATCATATTTATAATCAAACTACCGAAACTTCGTTAGAATTTTACCGAATATTGGTGAAATTATTTTTGTTTACCGAAAAATCTGTAATATACTAAATTAACCGATTATGTCCGGTAAAAAAATAATTACCGAACAAGCAAAACCTAGCTGAGTTTGTGTATTTGAGAAGTTTTTCCACTACGAATCATTAAATGCTGCATGATGGTGTGAAGGACATAAAGAAAATTAAATGTGTGTAAGAACTTGGTGAAAAACGAAATCCAGCCTAAAATAGTGGATCGGACGAATCAAAATATCGATCCCATCGATATTTTGAATTATAATTCATATCATTTATAATTCCATTTTTTTTTCCTTGATTTGTTTTCCGTCGATCTTGTTTTCTGTACTGAGCACCAATGCTACCGACGCCAGGAAGGCAGCTCCCACACCTGGACCATACCTATCGACCCATCAACTCATGAACCGGGGACCAACGGGTTTATTTCCCTTCCGAAGGAAGGCGTGATCAGAGATGTTATGCCTTAGAACATCCCGGCGGCACCGACTGGGATTGAACCCAGGCCTGCTGGGGTGAGAGGTAATCACGCTTACCACTACACCACCGGTGCCGCTGGAAATTCAAATTTGTTTAATCAATTATTATCATGTTCCAATGAGTGCCTACACATTTTGTCAACATACCAAACTTTCTTCCCTGAATGTAATAAACGAATTAAAATTTTATTTTCATGTGTAATAATTGTTATTCACACACCTCAGTAATGAAACGCTCACTGAAGAACTTTCCTGACAATAGATAGTGTTACATTCATGTCCACTGCGAGGTGTAAGGAACAGTGAAGAGTGGACTGCATTGTTAATTTAATATATATGGAAACTCCTAAGCTCTACAACTGTTCTGAAAGAGGCAGATATTTTTCAAAACAGCAATGCTTCACATTCTTTGAATAAAGGGTGATACGGTCAAAATTTGGTCAATATCAACTTGACGTATTTCTTTCAATTTTGCATTTAAAAAACCTCATTTTGAAGGTGTGTGTGTGTAGAATGTTGCTCCTATTTTGATTTTGGAATTCACTCTTCAGTTGTCAAAATGCCGTCCAAGCAAGAAGAGCAGCGTATCAAAATTTTGCTCGCGCATCGCGAAAATCCGAGCTACTCGCACGCAAAGTTGGAAAAATCGCTAAAAGTTGCCAAATCAACCGTTACAAATGTAATTAAAGTGTTTGGGGAACGTTTGTCGACAGCCAGGAAGTCTGGATCGGGGGGAAATCGAAAACCGGAAGCCGCTGAGACGACAAAGATAGTTGCCGGTAGTTTCAACCGAAACCCTAACCTCTCTCTCCGAGATGCCGCAAATAAGCTGGGTGTATCGTCTACAACCGTGCATCGAGCCAAAAAAACGAGCCGGACTATCGACTTACAAGAAGGTAGTGACTCCAAATCGCGATGATAAACAAAATACGACGGCCAAAGCGCGATCCCGGAGGCTGTACACGACGATGCTGACGAAGTTTGGCTGCGTGGTAATGGACGACGAAACCTACGTCAAAGCCTACTACAAGCAGCTTCCGGGACAGGAGTTTTATACGGCAAAAGGAAGGGGAAAGGTAGCAGATGTTTTCAAGCACATGAAACTGTCAAAGTTCGCAAAGAAATATCTGGTTTGGCAAGCCATCTGTACCTGTGGCTTGAAAAGCAGCATTTTCATAGCTTCCGGGACTGTCAACCAAGAAATTTACGTGAAAGAGTGTTTGAATAAACGTCTGCTGCCTTTCCTGAAGAAACACGGTTGTTCCGTACTGTTTTGGCTGGATTTGGCATCTTGCCATTACGGTAAAAAGGCCATGGAGTGGTACGCCGCCAACAACGTGCAGGTGGTTCCCAAGGACAAGAACCCTCCCAACACGCCAGAGCTCCGCCCAATTGAGAAATACTGGGCTATTGTCAAGCGGAACCTAAAGAAGACCAAAAAAACTGCTAAGGGCGAGCAGCAGTTCAAGGCAAACTGGCTTTCTGCGGCGAAGAAGGTGGACAAGGTGGCTGTACAAAATCTGATGGCAGGGGTCAAGCGTAAGGCCCGGTAATTCGGATTTGGAAAAGCGGAAGCCTAACTGAATATTTTTCCTGAATTTTATACTAATTGAACTTGAAAAAGAAATTTAATTTGATTTTTTAAATAAACGATTTCACCGATTTACACGCGTTTTCCCTTGACCAAATTTTGACCGTATCACCCTTTATATCATGTTTGGCTTAAAGCTGTTGGAGTTATTGCCGAAGAGTTCTGATGGTGTGAAGCAATGCATTTGATCTGAGCTAATCTGAAACCAAACTTTGAATAAATTCTCTATCAAATCATGGATCCTACTCGGGCATTTTTGTGCGTAGGACATGTCTTACCTGTCCCATCCACTTCTAGCGGCTCTGCAAAACAATGAGTTTTATTTTGCACGGGCTTCGAAATCCTCAAAACAAACTTTTGACCAATTCGAACTTATGCTCCATCTTACTCTATCAGAAACTAAAAATTCAGACGCAGAAAAACTTTGACTATTAAAACATAGATTTGATAACACAAACCTTACTTAAATACAGTTTTCAATCCGGGTCGATATGACCCGTTAACATGTCACTTGTAGTCACTTGTAGAATTTGTTTCTGTGCCCTTTTAGAAACGTCCAAATAAACTGATTCTAATGCAGTCTCTAGAAAACCGGAAAAGTCAAGAAAATTCAAATCTCTAGATTTCTTCCGAAGAAAGTTATGTCGTGTTGAAAGTTCATTTGCATTGCAGTTGCCCCTGATGCATCCTGAAAAAAAAAAGAAGTTCTCCTGAGCATACCACGCCACTAACACATCTTTTCAACTTCTCAATGTAGTAAGATGAATTCCCCACGCGATGCAAATCCTTCTATATATCTCAAGATTAATGATTCATTATGTGCATGCTCCTGAACCCTAATAGAATTTGTATGGTTATTTTGCTTAACGACGTGTTTGGGGTATCATCCAAACCATTTGTGGAAAAGTTCGACAATTTGGGTTATCGTTCGTTTATGGTATTTTTTTATTAGGGAAGTCATATTTCTCCAGGCTTATAGCTACCAAGTACCAAACAAAAATGATCGATTACGGCTTACAGCTCGTTTGGTAATTCTGTCCGAAATAATAACCAATCGCTCAGGAGTTGAAATTTCGGTTAAAATCTTACTGACTTCGGTGATATTTTCTAACTGTGTTCATAGGTAGAGAATGTTCTATATTTCTTATTTGAATTAATCTTTTTTATTTTTTTATTTTTATTTATTTCTTGAATTAACTGAATGTCATTTGAGCTGAATATTGAATATTTCATTTAGCAAAATTCGTGTGTATTTCAAGCACAATTATATTAGGGTTGGTGAGCCATTAGTGGAGGTACTAAGGTAATTTATTTATTTAAAAATATATATACGAAGTACATACAATTTTTATTCGTCAATATAGCTATCAACCTCTATTTTGCTAGAAAAATGCATAGTAATAAAATTGCATATATTTTCAGAAAACTCGTCCTCCATTAATAGGAACACTGTTCCAGTAGTGGTGTTAGTTATTAGCTTTGGTTCCTATAATAGAATGCATTGGTTTCTTATGGACTGCACTATTATACGAACTCTACCGCAACTATTGGTGCAAAGGAGTGAAAATCTTATGGAAAATTAACTATTTTTCGTCATTTTTGTGATAATTTGAAGTTTGAAATATACAAATATGCTTTATTTTAGTAGAGCAACCGCTGCAAAATTATCTTATCTGGGTCTTACTCACTATTCAGAAACATAATCCCCATACCGTAACTATAGGTACTATTACTGGAACTCCTACCCTATATTCCCAGAGATATCTTCCAGTTCGAAAAGCTCCTCAATCTATCCGAGAATCGAACAAGTCTCTTCGGGTATTGTTTATAATCTTGCCTCTAGTGGCTACGCTAAATGGAAGCTCTATTGAGTTTAATGTATGTGCTGTACATAATAACAAAATATCGACTTAATTTCCAAAACCGATCTTAAATTCCATGTGCCACATAATGAAAATGCAGCACGTTAAACGGTCAAGCAACAGTTTATGTCGATTGTATACCCACCACCATCCGCCACGATCGGTGTGGTGTATAGTTGATTACCAGTTTATGCCCGGGTTCAATTATGCGGATCATTTGCTGCCTTGTGCGAACCCACCTAGGCACCGTGATAAGTATATGTATTGCGATGACATTGTACTGCCATTCCAAAGTCCATTTTTTCTTGAACAAGCACGGATGTCATCCCCGAAGGGAGCACGCAGAGAAATTATTGAATCCATCTCGATGCACGGTAAGCTTGGTTCTTTTGATGGGGATGGATTTTTTTTTTTGTCGGTGAACGCCTTTTATTTTTTCGCCGATTCGTCTCGTCTCGTTCGCATCAATTTCATTCATTTCACAGATCCAAAGTCCATTCAGGCAGCTTCACGGCGCACTACTATGTGTGTACGAATATCAACCATAAGACGACGACGGACGACGTCGTCGTTGAAGCAAGGCCGATGTGCTTATAAAAATTCTCTTTTCGTAATCGAAACACTTCTATGCTAAATATATCACACTGTGTATTGACCCACAAATTCAACACTCTTTTAAATGCACAACGCACGTGCAACGCCTTCCGCAAAATGCATTGACTGTTGGTGTAGGTCGGCTTTTTGAATGCACCGTTGTAACGTGGCTTATGTAAGACATTTGGTATTAGATGTATACAAGAAAATATAGCGTATCAGGAGAATTAGAAATACCTAGATGTTTACTAATAGTAAAAAAGTATTTCCAGCACTAAAGGTGACCTTGACTAAATATTTTGTAAATTGAGATTGTTCGATTTTGTTAATTTTTACTTCACATTATTAAGGAAGCAATTAAAACGCATTCAAGTAATTAATAACGGCTCATATTCACCTTTGTTGTAAAAGCACAGTTGTGATCACAGTTTATAGTTCGAAGAATAAAATAACCGATTTTTACAATACTCAGACAAGGGATACTCGCAAAATCACTGCCAAACGACCAAAATCAAAAAAGCCGGTGAACTGATGGAGAACCGTCCGTGAACTAACCCGTGCAGCTTTCAGAAATGTACATATAAATATAAACACGCGTCTAGTGGTACAAGTGAACGCCACACTACACTGCCCGGGTATTTATTATCATTGTGTACGAGCTTGATCGTGAGTTGCTCACTGAATATGCTATGAATGTGGTTGAAATTGGCACGTGCGATTGTTTGATTATAGTGAACGTTATCATTGCTCGCTGTATTGATTTGACGTACAATGGCATAGTGGTCCACACTATTTTGTCGTATGTAGCTCGTTCCCGGCACAATTTCATCGCATACTGCATTTTTTTTTATCGTTTGTAACAGATTATACCCCGGACAGACTATGGCTTATATCATGTAATATAGGCTGTCTTGTAATGAGCACTCATACATAGGATTTCCAGTGAAAACTAGATGTATGAGTGCTCATTGCAAGACAGCCTATATTACATGATATAAGCCATAGTCTGTACGGAGTATTACATCGCATGACATTTACATTATTTTTAGTGTGATGATAGCAAATGACTAAAAGCCCTTAAAGTCTCACATGACACTTAAAGGTACACAGTTTGAGTGCAAAAAATATTGTATGCAACTCGTTGCAAAATTCGATTTTTTTGGTAAGATTTGTTGGAGTTCTGCTGAAAAAATCTTCATTTTGCAATTTGAATTCCTTTAATGAGCTATTTGGATCTTAGCTGCGATTTTTAGCAAAACAATGATTTCACTCTTAATACTGTTTGTCTATTGTGAAAATCACTTCAAACATGGCTCACACAAATAGTTGTACCGTTTTAGCTAACAATACTTCCCGTCTTTACTTACACGAGATACAGAGCATCTTGTAGAAAATCGCATATATGTATGTGCGGCTATTGCTATTTTGCTGTGTATATATTCGCGCTCTCATAGGCCCATCACTACAATCTGATCTTTGCGATGCGAAGAGGTAAAATTACACCCTAGCTGATATATCAGTAGACGTGTTGGCTTGATTCTTCATCATGCGTGTTAGTTTTTTTTTTGTTCTTTTACTTTTCAGTCCATGTATGCTTTATGTTGTTGCGTGCAACACAGATTCACATGACACTTGTTCTAGCTCTATCTATGCTTACAGAACCGCAACCGAAGTGTTCACCGAGAACGTTAGGAGAAGGTTTCGTGCGAACGCATATCCAGTTATTTTTTTAAACATGTTCAAGGTTAAAATGAGCAAACTTATTACTGATAAAACTAACTTTGTATATGCTCCATATACACTCTAGTAGCAGTCGGTAAGGTACAGCGCCAGCATGTACTAGAAATCAAAAGAAAGTTTAAAGTCCACAAAATGAATATGCAATAAGCAACAAACTGGGTTTGAAAACAGATTGAACAACCGGTTGCAACCAGTTTGGAATGTTCAACTTTGATTAAGTAGCCATGGACCGTGCCTTCAATTGATGACGAGGAGCATACAACGCATACGCTGACAAGCCAATAAGCGGATCGTTCACATTTCAACAATTAATTGATAGAATTGTCATGTGTTTTTAATATACTATTTTCGAAGCACTTATCTTGTTTATGATGCAGAACGAAAATCTATCAGTGTTAAGATAAGTGCAGAACGAAAAACTTTTAAGCGTTTCTGCTACAATGATTGAGTTGATTAAGTCTCTCATTTTTTAAACAACCGGTACAGTGCCTTCCCGTTTTTGGCAATACGTGATTTTTGTATCTCTGCTTTTTATGCAATCTAAGCCAGTAATGTTTGAAACATATCCATAAAGCATTTGTACAAAACTGTGTGAAAGTAATTCATAGCACACAGACAACCAGACATACCACTGGCAATTTGTTCGTCGAATACGCATTTAACGGTAAATTTAAATGTTTTTAGTTGGTACTACCTCCATCTGTGACGCGCATTGTCAATAACCCTTGCGATTGACGTTTACACACTACCGCCATTTGTTCAGCGCACTACTCAGTATACTCAACAGATGGCGGTAGTGTTTTAAGCGACAATGTTTTATATTGAAAAATATTCAATGTATGTCTGTTTGTCTGTGCATAGCAGTTGATGTCGTGTTGCCAAAAACGGGAAGGTACTGTTAAAATAACAAACTTGAACCTTAATGCAAAAAATCATCTAAGTTGATGTTAGTGTTAGTCTTATTATAAGTATTTGTGTATGGGTACCCATTTCTGGATAGAGCTATAAGAAAGGCTTGTCAGCTTTTTTTGATGAATTAATGCTATCGATTATTTCTAGAAATTCAAGACAGTAGCACGTTAAATACATTTGGAAAAATTGCTCTTCGATAGAGATAGATAAATGTTTTTTTCCTAAAAATTTGATAAAAACCATCTTAGCTACAATTTTGCTGAAGACCTATTTAAAAAAAATATATAAGAAAGATGGTTTTTGAACATAAAATGTTTTTTTTTTCTTTATTTATTTATTTATTTATTTATTCGTCAATCAATCAAATCGTAGACTACATATTAACATTAGGACTTATGTTCTATGACTTCGCAGGGTTCTGAAATATATTTTTAATTCTGTTGAGGGCATATTTAGGTCAATCATTTCACAATGATGATTATAAACAGTCATCATCTTATTTACCGGTCAAAATTTAGCGTAATTGTTCCGATGGCGATCTACTGCGAACAAGTGTTGATTGCGTAGTTGTCGGGAAGGTGCATACAAATTTAATCTTGACAATAGATCAGCTGAGTCAATGCGTTGCGAAATGATATTGTTTAATAAAGAAATCTTTGCGTAATCCCGACGTTCTTTCAATGTTTGAATGCTGATCAACAAGCAACGTGCTTCATATGACGGGACAGGAAAAGCCGTCCAACCTAACTTACGTAGTGCATATAATAAAAATTGCTTTTGGATTGACTCTATTTGTTCTTCATGCTTTTTCATATAAGGTGACCAAACAACGCTACAATATTCTAATATTGACCTCGCATAAGCAACGTAAAGTGATTTTATTGTATAAGGATCTTTAAAGTGGAGACCGAAACATTATATAAAATTAAGCATATTGCCTGCTCTTTGTATTATTGTGTTATAATGGTCCACAAATGTCAATTTAAAATCTAGAATAACACCTAAATCTCTTACATTTTCACATTTTCATTACCTAATGTAATACGAAGATTTTGTTTGTTTAGTTTCCTACTGATAACGTACAGAATACATTTTTTATTATTAAGTTTCAATAAACTTTACTACACCATCTGTAAAAAAGATGTATTTCATTCTGAAACACATTCATATCGTTGTCGCTTCCTATTTCTAAAAATAGCTCATGTTATCAGCGTATATAAGTACTCTGATATTTTTAAAAATAAGAGAGAATTCATTAATGTACAAAATAAAAAGAAGGGGACCTAGATGCGAGCCCTGGGGAACTCCTGACGTGACATGAATTGGCTTAGATTTTTTCTCGTTGAGTCTTACAATTTGAGGCGATCAACTAAATACGACTTAATCCAGGTGAGGAGCTTCATCTCAATTCCCATTATTTCTAATTTAAAAATGAGCATTGGGATATCAATTCTGTCTAAAGCTTTGTTGAAGTCCGTATATAGAGCTTCTACTTGGTTACCTCTGTCCATTGCATTTGATACGAAGTCCACAAATTCCAAAAGGTTTGTGGTGGTTGAACGGCCTTTAAAAAAGCCAGGTTTGAGGACCACCCTAATGTCAAAAACGATCAAAATAAGAACGGGTTTTAGCAATAAAAGGTTTACAAAAAAAAATGTCTAAAACCTAATGCACCTAGGGCTTTCGTCTCACCCAGAACCATAGTGAATTCTTGTTATCTCGTAATTTTGTAGAGATCAATTTACATTGATCGACAAAAATGTGCATATCAGTAAAGTTCTAGCCACGAGCAAACGTGTTTGTTTTTTCACTGTCATATTTTTTCGCTCGTTTCGGCTAAAACTTCTGTGCAAATAAATAGTTTTAATGGGTAATAGACAAATATTCAAATAAGACTCCTCAAGAGTGAAGCGAAGGTGACCGTGCGCCGTGAAAAAAAAACCTATCATTGTCGGATCGTACTCTGTTCGTGTGTTCTTCATATAGATCGCCGCCTGTGCTGTGCACCAAACAAGGCACCAAGCCCATTATTGTTGGGAAAAAGGATGGAAGTTCTGATATTCTTGGACAACCGAACTACTAATTTAAGCCACGAATCCTGGCAGCCAGTCAAAGGACGTGTGTGTGCTTTCACTCCGAAAAAAATAATCTTCATTGAACCTCCAACATCCAATTGTCCGACACACCAAGAAGAAGGGACCGAAGGAGTACTCCATTTGAAGCCCGGAAAAGTTTATGATCACACTCAAGTGGACCAGTTTTGGTGAGATCATTTAATTTTTTTACATAAATTTAGAATTTGATGTACATTGGAGGCATTTGGTGAGATCCTTCAATTATACTATGTAATTTAAACCATTCATTATATTTCATATGTTTGTTAAATTCACTCTTACATAATTCGGAGCGTTTGGTACGCACAAATGCACCTGATTGGGGCCCATGAATAAATTCAGAAATCGATTAAATTTTACCGTCCCAATGGCTAGTTCATCTAGATAAAATTGGATAAATAGCAGATTTTTAGCGATGGGTTCAATCTTAGATCCATAGGCCAACATTAGAGCCATTTCCCCTATATTTATTTGAACTCGAATACATTCCCAAAAATTGGATATGTGGTTTTCACCACAATTTGAACATTTAAATTTCTTAACATCTTCCTTCACAGGACAGTCGTCCTTTGCGTGAGAGGAATCACCACAATTCAGCTGGCATGTAGCAATTTTTTGTGACCCCAACCCTGGCACTTCTTGAAGTATTCCCACTTCACTCGGACATGGAGCATAAGGCTAGCTTTTTCAAAGGCCTTGAGAATGTTTAGTTCACTAGACTTGAGATGAACTAAATAAAAATCATTAGAAATCCCGTTGCGTGAAC